GCCTAATTAATCCAGTCAACTCTCAATGCGATACATATATTGCTGACGGTACAAGAGAAGGGACTCATTAACGGCGATTCCAAGACGATCGATCCTCCTCCAACCGATTCGGGTCGAACTATTTGTCGAAGCAGAGCGTGACCTCAATCAGCCGATATTTGAGCCTAAGCTCAAAACCGCACAATCCATGTACATACGTACATGAACATACGTACGCGGTCGACATCACCTCGTGCCGCGACACAAGAGGCATGAGAACGTTGCATAGACAACGTGTCTCAATGAGACATCCCATTTAGTCGGCATCGGTGGTACGATATTCTCGTTGACAATTACAAAATTGGGATATCACGCGATGATGCAACAAACCGTCGACGCGCGACACTTTGCACGACATTTTCGCAGTTAAACGCGCGATACTTTGCACGATACTCCCGCATTTTGACACGCGACATTTTGCGCGACGCACCCGCATTTAAACGCACGGTTTGCACGATATTCTAACGTGTCTTAGATTTTTGAATTGCCGGAGTCAATCTATTCAATAGTTTATCACACTAGTTTAGCGAATTCATTATGCCAGACACGGATGACGATGCCTTCTCCCACGACGAGGCCTTCTTCGGCGACGACGTCTTCATTAGTAATTAATTTTCTAGTATTAATAATATTTTTCTTTCCCCCTATTTAAAAACTTTTGATGAATATTAATTAAAATTAATATTAATAAAAACAAATAACAGTTAATTGAAAAGAAGTTTTTTACGTTTCTTCTTTTGCGAGAACTCCATATATTTGCTCTATCAATCTTCGGGTGTCGTTAATCCACAACTTATTTCCAATTAATACGGCTTGTCGTGCTATTTTCGCCGAAATATGTAACCGGTCAATCTCAGAAATAAAAAATAAATTATAATTTGACGCGTATAATTTGTACTATAGAAAGTTTAATATATTATCGTAAATTCTTCTGCAAATTTTAAATCACTACTTCTTGATTTCTTTCGGTCGCGATAAAATACCCGCGAAATATCTTTTGGCACATACATGTTATTTCACAATATATTGCTCTAACTAGTGTAAAGCCAAAGTTATCAATCCATATGAATAGGATTACAAAAAATTAGAATTAAATGTATGTATATAAAATTAAATTATTAATGATTATATAATCATTTAAAGAATTTATAATCAAACGCAATCAATAATCATTAGTATGTGTTTAAAATAAATTATTTTAAATCTACGTATTATAAATGTATTATAAAGTGTTTTCTGTTTATTTTAAAGTAAAATATTAATCTAAGCTGTTGTAATCCATTTATTCATTTTGAGGTAATGGAACTAACTACAATCTACAGTCTATCTAAAATCCAAAATCTACAATCAACTCACTACAAAACCATTACCTCGTAATAAAATGTAATTCGTATCGCTCACCACCCGATGCGCAACAGCGGAGTTGACTGCATCGAAGCTATGTTGGTCTGTAACAATCAAATAGAATATAAATTGTAGCAGCGCCTAAAATAAGTAACATTTCAAAAAATTATTGTAAGCATTAAATTTTTTTTTCATGCGTACAATAATAAACAAAAATATAATCATATAATTTTTTAAATTTTGAATTAATACATTTAACAAATTTTGATTTAATACAACCAATAAATTTTGATTTAATATACAATTATAATCAAATATATAAATAATATATTCTCACCCCAAGGTTGCTCCGCCGTCGCCCAATGCCTTTCCCAGACCTCCTCCTCCTCTTAGGTTGTCAGAGGCGTTGACAGAATTCTATGTTGATCTGTAACATGTTAATAAAATCCAAATTGTAGCAGCGCTTAAAATATATCCAGAAAATAAAAATTAAATTTGATATTCGATACGTACAATATTCAGCAGATATATAATTATATAATTTTATTTTATGTAACTAACAAATAGATAGTAAATACTCACTCCAATGTTGCTTTTTCGGCGTTCAATGTCTCTGCTTGACTTCCTCTTCCTCTCAGATTGACAGCACCATCAGCTACATCCATCTGTAACATACAAATTAAATTTAAATTCTATCAGTCCAAAGTAATTAATATTTTAAAACATTATTGTGTACATTGAATCTTCTATTTAATGAGTACAATCTTAAGCAAAAACAAAAAGTATGTTCGACCTACATAAATATTTTTTACAGACTAAATAACCAAATTAGTATAAATAATGTATAAATAAAAATAATGTCCAATTTATAAATTATTTCTATGTCTGCATTTTTGTATGCACATTGACATGCATTCTTATATATTCCAGGATTAAGTATTTGGCCTACTTTATTCTAATTTGTCCATTTTAAGACAGAATGGATTTGTATATTATATTATATGTATATGTGAAGTATATGATTTATAATGTTTCTATATTCTTAATTTAAATTTTTATTGTTATCATATAATTTTTATTATATTTTAATATGATTTTAAGATAAATAATGTGATTTCTAATATGGAGTAATTTACAAAAATTAATAAATAAAAATTTATTATTGCATTTATTATTATTGCAAATTTGAATACATATTTTTATATATTAATATTATATTTATATTAATATTATTATATTTTTATATTTTAATATATAAATCAGAATATCAGAAGAATATTATAAATTGTTTGATTTTTGTTTCTAATGTATTTGTTATCTTTTAAATATATTTTATACATATATCTGTTAATTTTCACAAATCGTATTTGTTAACTTTTAAATATATTTTATACATATATCTGTTAATTTTCACAAATCCATTACTTTGTAATTAAAATAGAAAACAGTTCAAATTTTTATCGGTGCGATGTGCAGCTACCGAGTTATACAGCGTAATATACAGTGTTAATCTGTAAAATATACGAATTTATCTATTTAATCTAATTTAAAGCAAGTGTCCAAACTACATCTCAAAATGTAATTATAGCGCGCATTAAAATTTTGCTTTTATTAAATTGTTTCAAATAATGATAATATACACATAAAAAATAACAAATTATTCACCTTATGGTTATTTCACCGTCGCTTGATGCCGTCCCGGGCCTTCTCCTTCCCCTCTCTTACTTCCCTCTCTTATTTCCCTCTCTTATTACACCATTATCGCTCTTTCATGATATCCTCTGGAAAAAAAAACCAATTAATTACAATAACGCACACATTAATCACACCCGAATATAATTAATGAGCGGTACTTTTACACAACATTTTAATGGCAGGTGACGCGCTACCCATTGTATTAATACACTACACAATCAAAAATGATTAAAATATGATTTTAATACGATGAAAATTATTGTAAGTATATGAGAGTATATCATGAGAGACAATGATTTCCATAAATTGTTATCGCTATTCCTACCTACTCAAATGAATGTAACGCGCAAAATGTTTTTCGACAAAAAGCCATTGTCGCGATACGTTTAATCGCTTAATCAAATTAAATAATTGTGCAAGTTGATACTCACAACCAACACATACTTATAGTTCGCGATCGCGTCTCGAAAATTAATACGACGCCGCGCCGCGCCGCGCGTTAACCTAATAAGATACTCTGCGATTAATCCCTAAGCAAGCTTTCGATAAGGATAATATTAGACATAATGTAAATTTGATTATAAATACATGTAGAAGAATAGACTCGTCTCTAAACAAATACTCGAAAGATGGACAGAATAAAAGTATATCCATAATGGCCGATTATCTTAACCGAAAAGACGCTTGACTCTCTTACTTCCCTCTCTTATTTCCCTCTCTTATTACACCATTATCGCTCTTTCATGATATCCTCTGGAAAAAAAAACCAATTAATTACAATAACGCACACATTAATCACACCCGAATATAATTAATGAGCGGTACTTTTGCACAACATTTTAATGGCTGGTGATGCTACCCATTGTATTAATACACAATCAAAAATGATTAAAATATGATTTTAATACATGAAAATTATTGTAAATATATGAAAGTATATCATAAGAGACAATGATTTCCATAAATTATTATCGCTATTCCTATTTACTCAAATAAATGTAGCGCGCAAAATATTTTCTTCGACAAAAAGCCGTTGTCGCGATACGTTTAATCGCTTAATCAAATTAAATAATTGTGCAAGTTGATACTCACAGCCAACACATACTTATAGTTCGCGATCGCGTCTCGAAAATTAATACGACGCCGCGCCGCGCCGTTAACCTAATAAGATACTCTGCGATTAATACCTAAGCAAGCTTTGGATAAGGATAATATTAGACATAATGTAAATTTGATTATAAATACATGTAGAAGAATAGACTCGTCTCTAAACAAATACTCGAAAGATGGACAGAATAAAAGTATATCCATAATGGCCGATTATCTTAACCGAAAAGACGCTTGATTTTTTATTCTTATAATCCTCGTCTAATATGCCATAAAACTATTAAATATTCTCATAGTCTTTTCAAGAAAACAATTCTATTGCATATAATCGTATCTATTTGGTTCGATTATCTCTTTGTCGGCTTACCTGTGCGGATATTATCGAACCTTGCAATTTCTGCGTCTGTACCAAACGCCGTTTCCGCGGGAAAAGAGGAAGAAGCCGGACGTAACGTCTTGAAATTAGCGCCGGTATTCCTTGTTCTGATTGGTCAAGCTCTAAGGTAGTAATTCGCGAATGTACCGAGCTATCTCATTAGTGGATATATCGACACGCATTCTCGCGGAATCAAAATTTTTAAAATCAGCCAATCAAGTCGAAGAAGTCGCACGAAATCTACCGAAAATCGCCGAGCAGTTCTCGAACATTTGGCGCGGGAATTAAAATCGTTTAAAGTCTTTATGCAAATGGATGTGATACGAGATATCCACAATTAATATTTTTTCTTCGATGTGATGTGAAAATGAATGCTTATTACGATACGCATTCGTATTTTTAACGAAACATTCAACTATCTCCAGTTGTCTTTGTATGTCTCCAGTATGTATCACGATATGAAGAATGGTAACATCTCCCTTGTCACGGCTGTTGCAAATATTTGTAACAAGAAACAGCTCGAAAGTCATGATTCGCGAGGACCACGCTCACGGAACAGTATACGAGAATCTGGATGTTTTGTTCGCAACAGCAAAGTTGAAAGATGCTTGATAGATAGACCGAGCTAGTTTCTAACCTGTTTATTTCAATGTTTATACACGTATGTAAATGAAAGCGAATCTTTCTATCCATGCTTCACTTTCATTTTAATAATCAGATCTAACAAAAGAATGCATTCTTATTACATTTTTTTATCTTATTTTTTATTTCTTATTCAAACATATTTGAATATTGTTGACATTGTTTTGTATTATTTGTAGTTGGAGAACGTGGAATGTCATTATGATAATAACATATGATAACATAAATTATTATTCGATTTAATTTTATCACATGAATACTTCTCGACTAGAGTTCCGTATTCAACACTTTCTCTCCCAGACAAAAATAGAGAGGAAATGCAAATACAGTAAAAGATTGGATGCTTACAATTACGGTAATATCTTATTATTGATAACAATTGAGTTATTCACTGTATGATATATACAACAAGCAGTTTGACAACCTATTTTGACTTTTATAGATTTATAGATAAAGATTTAAAGAAAAATATAAAATTATTGATACTTGATAATTTATTTATTATAATACTTGATAATTGTAGTATTTGACAAATTATTATAATATTTGAAAATAGATTTATATACGATACTTTATGTTGTCATTTAGGGATGTTTACGCGATTCAAGAAGAATTTTAGCAAATATCAAATATAAATACTATTGATACATCTGTGAAAACTATATAATAATATAGAGTAAGTGTAATAGTACAACAGATTTTATTTTAAAGAAATTCTATATGTTTTATATTTATATAAATGACATAAACAGAAATGTATTTTAAAACTATATTGTTTATTGATGAGGATATGATTCATAATATATGCAATCAAAGATTTTACAAATTTTAAATTTGTTCATTACATCTTAAAAGATGAAGATTATTAAAAGAAAATTTTAATAAATTTGGCATTAAAGAAAAAGTAGTGCTAAATAAAAAATTAATTATGTGAGTTATTGTACAATATTAACAACTGTGTGCATTATGAAAACTATAAAAATAGTCGTTCATTGAAATTTCATAGAATATCATACAAAATCTTTCAAGAAGAAGAAAATATTTTTGAAATAATATAAAAATATATGTTGAATAAAAAGAATATAAATATGTATCTCAAATATTATAAATTTGAGATACTTCTCATTTGTTCATAAAATTGAGAATTTATTGCAAGAGATTTCTCTGTAGAAATACAAAATACTCTATATAGTTATTTTATTTTATTAGAAAAATAACAAATGATAAATTGAATAATTTTTATTAATATTAATTATATATTTATTGATTTTAAAAATAATTATTTTTTATTTTGAACTAACTTTGTGAATATTATGATATAATTATATCGATTTTTATTTTGATATAGAAATATCTTCGTTTCGATTAAATTAGACATGATACTATGGATAATAGTATGATTAGGCAGAAAATAGACGAGAGATCAAAATATTCCTGGATATACTTTAACTTTATTATATGATCTTGCATTAAACACAGGGATTGGTAAATATCTAAATATGGATTTATTCTAAATTTTGTTCATTTGTTCGTAAAATTGAGAATTTATTGCAAGAGATTTCTCTGTAGAAATACAAAATACTCTATATAGTTATTTTATTTTATTAGAAAAATAACAAATGATAAATTGAATAATTTTTATTAATATTAATTATATATTTATTGATTTTAAAAATAATTATTTTTTATTTTATACTAACTTTGTGAATATTATGATATAATTATATCGATTTTTATTTTAATATAGAAACATCTTTTTTTCGATTAAATCAGACATGATACTATGGATAATAATATCGATTAGGCAGAAAATAGACGAGAGATCGAAATATCCCTGGATATATTTTAATTTTGTTATATGATCTCGCATTAAACACAGGAATTGGTAAATATCTAAATATGGATTTATTCCAAATTTTGTTGTTACCTCTTGAAGATACAATGATGTTACTGAATGAAGAGTTTGATTTAAATTTACCATGAATATTGTTCCCTGCATCTTTTGAAGTTAGTTTTATTTTGATCGGTTTTTCAAAGATATGATAAGAAGGAATGAGAAAAACAGTAATATTGTTATCACTAGCTTTTTCTTGATCTTGCATTAAACACAGGGATTGGTAAATATCTAAATATGGATTTATTCTAAATTTTGTTGTTACCTCTTGAAAATACAATGATGTTACTGAATGAAGAGTTTGATTTAAATTTACCATGAATATTGTTCTCTGCATCTTTTGAAGTTAGTTTTATTTTGATTGGTTCTTCAAAGATATGATAAGAAGGAATAAGAAAAACAGTAATATTGTTATCAGTAGCTTTTTCTTCCTTTTCTTTTACACATATGATTTTTTCAGTATAGCTTTTTCTTGCATTATAATTATTCTTATAATCAGAAGAATTAAGAATTATTGAATTTCTTTCTTCTTTAAAAAAGAAATTTCTTTGGAGATTATCAGTTTGATTTATCGAGCTTGGAAAACTATGATTCATAAACAAAGATATGGTAGCATGAAGAGACTTTTGGTTATCTCTTTCGTCATAATAAGATGCTGTTGTTAATGCTGATGTAAATGCAATAATTATAATATATAAATTTTCCTTCTCAGAGTATTTCATAATAATTTAATTTTTAACATAATACAACTTTTTGAATGGTTATTCTTTAAATATCAAAAATATTCTAAAAATTTAATTATTGAGTTTTACATTTTATATATTCAAGAATTTATAAAAGACAAATGTTAAACAAAATAATATATAATTGAGTCAATAAACTTATTCTTATCATGTATGTTATATTAATTCTACAGTTATTTTATAATTCTCTTACATCTTTGACAAAGAAGATAGCGTTTACGATCATACTTTGCCTCCAAATAAACCGGTATTTCACACATGTGTCCATCCAGCAAAAAACAACCATGCAATTTTCTATTGTGGCCCTTTCATAAATCATTGTTCGAAATATTGCTGCCAGACGACAACCATTTCCACATATTTACAATTGCATTTCGCTTCCAAATAAATGAGTATTTCACACATGTATCCTTAGCAAAAGATAGCCATGCAATTCTAATCAAAAAATTTGTTTACATGTTTCTCTAATCTTAGAAATCTTTTGATACGAACATATTCAATATTTAAGGAGATTTAATTAGAAATGTTAATCTCACAAAACAATTCTGAGATTAAAATGCATTATAGGATCAGTGTAGTTTCGCTTCCTAGCGAAACTGTCAATCAATGTGAAAGGAAAACCTAACAAGATGCAAGCTGGGCAGATATATTCATATAATGGATTGGAGGATTTAACTGTCTAATGTCAGAATGCCGGTGATCATGCAACCAACAGATATTTTGATAAAGTTTGAAGCTGCTAGAGTGAATCCCATCGATATTGCAGTGACAAATAGGTACTCTATTTCTGATTGTATATGTGTTTTTTGTTTTGAAAGTGACAAAATTATAAAATAAAATATTACACTCTATATTTTTAGCCGAATGTGTATAAATAAATATAGTAAACATGTATATTATAACATAGAAACTATATAAAAATGGTCAAACATTAATGCTATTTTATTTTAGTAAAGTTTTCAATATATTTTTAATTCACATTGTTTCTGCAATGAAAAAGGCTTATTTAATCCTATATAACTAATAGTTACAATAAAAAATCATATATATATTTTTTATTATAGATGGTTATGGCACAACTCTTCAAAATTTGATGTGCCATGCCAAGATTTTGACTGGTGGAACATACAATAGACGATTACCAAGATTACGATACAAAGACGAAGAAGTAATTAGCATGTGCAGCAGTGATACTATGGATATGTTACAGAGTTTAGGTGCCAATATTGTTATTGATTATAAGATGGTGCTGACATAAAAATTATTTCAGAGGGACCGTAAGTAATTTCATATCAAACTAAAATGTATTGCATTCATATATATATATA